TGGCACAATGCTTTTTACATGCCGGGCACTTGATGCATATTTCCAAATAAGGCATTTAACATCTGGCACCCACAGCTGCCTGGCAAGGTTGTGTGACTTAAATGATACAAAATAGATGTTTAATTACTTTTATTTTCAGATCAGCTAAACTAAGGATGACAGAGCCAGCCTAGTGAACTTGCTTTGTCTTTTATTGGATTTCATGTTTTCCTTAATAGTTAAAATATTATTTTTTGATTTGCAACAAGGATTTTCTTAAATTTTTATTAGTTATCTGTGGTAGAACTTCATGTGCAGCATTATGGATGAAACTGTATGTATAATGATATGCTATAAATAAAACTATATGTATAAAAATATGCAGTAAATTGCTGGTACATAAAAAACCAAACATCTTTACAATCCATTTTTTGTTGCTTTCTCATTAAACTGTTATTTTAAAAAAACTTTATCTGCTAAAGTTTTATATCATTGTATACAACAGTTTATCTGACTGCCAAGAGTTACTTTATCATTGCCTTCCTGATGCTATTTCTCATGGTTTTGATTTTCCTCCATCAAAGATACACAGAAATACATAACTTATTTAGCCTTGTTGGGAAAAACTTTAGTAAAATATCCAAATAACTTTACCTTTATTTTTTTAAAGGCACACTTCCTTTTAACCATAAGAGATCATTCTCTTTCCTTTTTAAGGTTGTTGAGAGAAATTATAAACGTCTCAGGAAAATGAATACACTCTAACCTTTCATAATGATTGATGCTGAGAATTACAAATATCCCCACTTTCTGGGTGAAAGCCATGCATGTGATTAATTGGCTCCTATGAAAATGCTTTGCAAAGTGGGAGTGGTTTACGGGCTCTGTTAGTAGGGAGGGTAGGCTGGTTACACATGCAGGGAAAAGAGGTTTGTAAGATTCCCAAGGCTCTTCCTGGGCTGAGCAAGTACACTGTGAGACAGATTCTGAGGTAGCCCTGGCACTTATTTGACCAAGAAATTCTTTTTTTCCCCTCCAAAAGCATTTTAAGAGATGCCATTGGGAAACACTGGTCTCCTCAGAATGCCTCCAGTCTTCTGTACTCTTTGAATGTATTTTCTGCTTTTTAAAAGAAGGTTTTCCTTATCTTTCTGCACCATGAAACTGTCAGCTTTGACCTTTTGCTTCCTGCAATGTGCTTAGGCCCAGAGGTGTCCCCTCTGTGTCTGGAAAACTAGGCAAAGGCTCTAGGAGTGAAGTCCATCTTCTCTTGGCTGAAAGGCAGAGGATGTAATGAAAGGACTTTGTATGTTAATCTGCGTTCCTAGATGCAGTTTGCTTTTCTAGTTTAGCTTTTGTCCCTGAGAGCTGAGGCTATGGGACCCGTGATCTTCGCCTAAGGAAGAGAATTCTGTTAGTGCCCAGTCACACCCGGAGACTGCTGAAGAACCCACAGGCTCCCGTTCAGAGAGGAGTGCCCGCTCCTGGAGTGGTGGCTCACACACACAGACCCTGCCACCCACAGGAGGGTCATTCAGAATTCCGGGAGCTGAATGCACTTCTCGTGCTCTGACAGCACGGTGCTGTGTCCCATGCCCACCCGCCCCTCTTTCTCCAGTTCATCCCCAAGTTTGATTCCTCCAGCTCCATGGGAAACTATTTAAAGTCCTGGGGTTTCCTCTCTTCTTTACTCTCACCTGTGAGTCTGGGGTCCTCTAATCCCCTCCTAAGACTCGCGCAGTCTCACTTGGGGGTGCTCCTCCTACACCTCCTCTTCTGTCCTCTGCAATCCATCCCTTCCTCCCCCTGCACCCCAGAGCTATCTGGGATTTCTAGTGCTGCACTCCCCCTGCCCCTCAGCGGGGGCAGGGGAGGAAGGGCTAGCATCTTGTTTTTTGTTCTTTTTATTGAGACTACCTGATCTCTCTGCATCCCAAGAAATACCTTCTTATACTAATTACTGCATTTTAAAATTTTGCCGCAGCACTGAGTCATATCACAAAATCAGATACCTAGTTTTCTACTGATCTGCACCCACTTCTCTTGTCTCCCTGGTTGTGAGCTCATGGGGGCACACAGTTTCCCTCTTGTTTTATTAGGGGGCTTCTCCGAGGCCCTCTCCGAAGACACCAAGCAGGATGCAGAGCGGGGATGGAGCAGAGCAGAGATATAATAGGCCCGATGGGAATCAGACTCCATGATTTTGGCCAAGGTTCTCTGAGCCAAAACATTTACCAACAACTAATGCAAAAGCAAAGCGAAACAACACAACCTGAACTAACTAATCAACCCCAAAACCAAGGAACAAAGTAAATAAAAAACTGTAAGAAAAGCATAATAATTATAACTCTGGTAATAGTCTAGTCAGTGACAGACTTGTTTCTTTTTTTTTTTGGTTTTTCTCCGGTACTGGGAACCGAACTCATGACCTTGCGCTTGCCAGGCAGGCGCTTTTGCCGCTGAGCTAAATCCCCAGCCCCGGCAGACTTATTTGTTGACCATAGTTTCTTTTTTCTTTTTCTTTTCATTTTTTGAGACAGGCTCTCACTATGTTCATTATGGAGGGCAGGCTGGCCTCAAACTCACAGTGATTCTCCTGCCTCAGCCTCCTAAGAGCTGGGATTACAGGCCTGTGCTACCATTCCTGGGTGATGGTGGTTTTTAAAACTGCTTATGAGAATTACAGGGCAGGATTTTTTAATACTTGGAGGGGAAAAAAGAGAGGATTGGTTTGTTTGAATTACCACACTGACTGCTAGGTATTTTGGAAACGTAGTCAGAGGCTAGGAATATATTTTGGATTACTAATTCCAAAACCCCTACAATAATGCTAAGGTAGAAGAGACTGTAAAATTACCTTCAATTGGGTGCCATACTTATATGTCTTATGTTGGAAAAGCCCGTTTTGGTAACTGGTAAAATGTGGGTATCATTAACTAATTCTCTATAAATTATTTAATTTCTCTTTTCCTGCCAAAGTTTGGCTTGTGTTTGGGAAAGGGTTAGGTAAACCCAGTGGTGGGGTGATACACTTACAGGTGAGCTTTAGGTTCTTACTGCAAATTCTATTATTAGCTATCAAGTACAATTTATTCTTTTTTTCAATCTAGCATCTTTGCAGCAGAATAACTACAACAAATAGATTTTTATATTAAGATATAATTTGAATCATAAGAGGTATAATGAATCAGATTGCATTTTAAAACTGGAAATAATATTAGACAGAAGAAACTGCAATATTAAGGTAACGCAATTGCCATTTCCATAATGAGTTCATATTGATAAATTCGCATAGCTCCAGCCAGGAACACTCTTTAAAGACCTATGTGCTCTCGGTGTGTGCTTTCTCCCCTTCTTATATAACTCAGTTTTACAGAAGGTGAAGCTATGCAAGCCTAGGTCTCCTCACTGGGCTGTTTACACATGCCTCGGTATCTTAAAGGCAAATTCGCTCCGCAAGCCACTCGACTACACTCGTTAATTCTAGTGTCTGTGCTGGGAAAATAAATGGTAGAATGATAGAACAATGATGTGACTGTTTTAATTACCACCATCTCTTCATGTATATGTCTTCGTAGAGTTCAAATAACAAGGTAATAATACCATAGCCAAGTAAGACAGTGGCAAAACGGTTATAGCAAAAGAGAGCCCATATTTAATACATTTGGGGCTGGGGGATTTGGGGAAAGGATATCTTAGGTCTTTGTGCTGCTGGGTTACAACAAAGCCGGTAACAGGCATCACTGCCAGCATTTAGTGTTATTTTTTTCCCTTTTCTCCTGTTTTTTCCAGACTGTTCAGTGTCATTAAGCTTTGTAAATAAATGTGCTCAAGTGAGAACACGAAACACTGATCGCATTAGTGTTACGCAACTCAACGTCACTAACCCGTTTTCTCCAGCGTTCTTCAAACCAGAGTCAGCAGTATGACAGAGAGCCTACATACAGCCCTCTCTCAGCTGGCTCTGGCCTCAGTTTCCATTCAGAAGGAGCCATCCTGATTTCTTCCAGTCAGTATAATTGGCCACTTTTGCTTTTCAGCTAGTTTGAGTGACACTGGAAATACAGCATTTTATTTAAGCTCTGTGTATTTTTCTTTTTACTGAAAACAGACTTTGATTTTATTGTACTAGATACAAATGGGCTCTACAGCAAAAATGTAATGTCACATCCTCCACTGTCTTTCGTGGGGAGAGGAGATACTCAGGTGTAGCTCTTTTGAGTTCTCCTTGGCTTTTAACTCATGGAGCTTGTAATTCCTTCTTACTTTCCACATTAGGAATCTATTCCTCTGTACATTGCCCCCACTGCTATAACACTCTGGAGATTGGAAATACCAAACCCCTTGTCCACATATACGACCTTGTAGCCCTGTAGAGTCAGGAAAGAGCAAGAGAATAGCCTGTACATAGACATTTACTTCTTATTTTCCCACCTGCAGGGCATATATAATTTTTTTATGAGGTATCTGTGTGAATTTGTTTTCTGCATCTAAGCAGATGAGAAAAATCTCTCTTTTGCTACCTCAGTCACGGACGAAGGCTCCTTTCCAACCTTGCCTGAAGATATAGATTGCTTCTGCACTGAGCCTAGCATTCAGATAGGACAGAGATCTCGGATTAACTGGACACCCCCCCTGCCCAGATTTGAGATTCAAAATAATTTCTTTATAATTCAGTTGGGGGGAGGGGGTGGAAAAAGAAACCCTAGCTATTTCCTTCATTAATAAGCAGTATTTCCAAGTGCTCGGGGATTAGATTGTTGGTTTACTCTTAACTCCCTTTTACAATTCATAAAATTATCAAACAATTGAAATTTTGAGCTGGGAAGGAACTCAGCTATTAACTACAATTCATTTTACATATAACAAAGCTGATACCCATAGACCTAATGTAAAATGCTTAAGATCACACAACTAGTTAGGCTATCCAAAACCACAGAACTTCTATGATAAAATGTCAAAGAAATACGTTGGATTATTTTGCATGCCTTTTTGTTGCAATGTTCTAGCTGAAAAGACCATCTGCTGTTTTTGTGCTCTGCCTCTGAGGATTCAGGCCGGATAGTATTTCATGGTGACATCGCCACAGCTCGGAGCAGCCCATTGTCTTTTCTGAGCACCATCAGTTTTGAAAGGGTGAGTAGCTCATCATGATTTGGTTACTTTAAAATGTTTCCCAGAAAAAAATGTAATGCAATCTTGTTGTATATGTATATTGTGTCATAAAGGATCTCCACTTTCTAGAACTTTCCACGAAAGCTCAGTAAATGGTTGGCAGATGATCTCCTCAGGCCTGAGTTCAGAGGTTCTGTATTCTTCTTATTTTTTATAACTGACAGGATGAATATTTCCCCCCATATGTCCTGCACCTATATCGCCAGTACACTGTGTTTCATAATTGCTACAAGTGGCCAAAATATCAGCAATTTCAAGTAGTTCCATCTGTTTATATAGCGGGAAATTTCTGAGGTCAAAGGAGTGGATCTTAAACACACTGACAGTATTTAAAAATCTCTCCCTTAACTGTAGGAAGTGATTAAGTGCCCGTTACAGGGGAAGTCAGTTCAGAGAGGAGGAAACCGAAGGTAAAATGGATGAGGTTAGCCAGGCGTTTAACTGTTTCCTGGACTGGCCCTTTTCTGATATGCAGAGGCTTAAATTAATTTACTTTGGACAAATTAAAGCTGGACCTACCTGTCTCCTTCTCCTTCATTTAATGTCACATAGATACAGTACATGGGCACTTAATTACTCTTACTTTTACTTAGTAACTATGCATAAGCCCGTGTGTGTGTGTGTGTGTGTGTGTGTAAATTCTTCATTATTGTTTAGACTGACACTGTGCCCCCATGCGCTCACAGGCAATGCTTTTGGAAGGCGATTGAACCGTGTGGCGATATAGTAGACTTGCTGTTAAGAGATGGGGTCCGGTTGGAAGAGGAGCGTCATGGCGGCGTGGCCTGGAAGGGTTCCCCTCCCTCTCCTACTCCTCCCTCCCTCTCTTCCTGTGTGCCATGAGGTGAGCCGCTCCCTCCGCTAGCCCCTACCTTGACTTCCTGCCCTGAGCCAGCCGACCCTGGACTGTCACTGTGAGCTAAAATAAACCTCTCCTCCTTTAAGTTGTGTCAGGTACAACTGCGTGTCTCAGTGACAAAAAAGTGACTGAGACAACTATCCAGTAATCCACTCAGTTCAACAGAAATGTACAGAACCCTCGCATGTGCCAGCCGGCTGCGTATGTCAGGTGCTAGGGGCATTGGATTCGATCAGACTGAATTGTTTCTGAGTTGTCTCTCAACTCCAAAACAACAAAGGCAAATGAGAAATGTGACAAGGACTTCTCTCCAATCATTTAGCTTCATTAAGCCATTTAGCTTCCTAACATGGAGACAAATTCACCGCAGAGTTAGAGTTTGCATGCAGTGCTTTCGTTTGTCTTACCTGAAGAATCTTATCACCAGGCTGCAGGAGGTTGGATGCTGGCCCGTCAGGCTGAACCCTAGTAACAAAGATACCCTATAAGTCAGAAGTGACAGAGGTTAGGGTTCGTTACCAACAACAGGGCTACTTCAATCAATCTTCATTCACATAGAAAGCAGTGAACACAGATTTTAACAAGTTTAAACACGCCAGCTTTAAAATTACTAGAGTATTTTAAGTAAGGCATAACTCTATAAGTCAAGTTTAAGAAAAGCAGTATGTTTGCTTGCACAAAAAGCTTATCTTTACTTGGGTGTGGTGGCACACGCCTGTAACCCCAGCACCCAGGAGGCTGAGGCAGGAGGATCATTGCGAGTTCGAGACCAGCCTGGGCTACAAAGTGAGCTCAAGGCCAGCCTGAACTGTATAGTGAGACCCTGTCTCAAAAAGACAAAAAACCAAAAGTTTATCTTTAAAAAAACTTTGATTTATAAATTATCTCATGGCATTCAGAAAAATTCCTCCCTTCTTTCCCTTTCCTCTCTTTTTCCTTCTTTTTTTATTTTTTTTTCCACAGTACTTGGAATTAAAACCATGGCCTTCAACCTGAATTATATCCCCAGTCTTTTTGTAAAATTTTGAGATAAGGTCTCGCTAAATCCTCACTAAGTTGGTCAAGCTGGGTTCAAATGTGTAACCCTTCTGCCTCAGCCTCCCAGAGAGTGCTGTGATGACAGGCATGCACCTCCACGTTCAGTTCAAAATATTTTCTTCTTAGTCATTAGAAATATGATTCCAAATCATCTCTGGTACATACTCTCCATTTATCTTAGGTTATTCTACCTGGAAATGTTAATTGTTTCATAGATTAAAAAGTCAATGTTTATACTGGTTCATTAGAGTTAGTTATTGTGTATGTTATTGCAAGTTTTACCATAAAACATACATGAACAAATTAAACATGAGAAAAATGCATTATGCATTTTATTTTGTTGACAAGGTCTTGCTAAGTCACCAGGTTGCCCAGGCTGAGCTTGAACTTGTACTCTCTTGCCCTATGCTCTGGGGGTGTTGAGTTTATAGCTGTGTGCCACCCTGCCCTGCTCAACAAATGTTTTAAATCAATTTTATGTTTATATAGTTATAAATCCCTCAATTGATTGAGTTCATAAAAAGTCAAGTTGATTTTATTTATCACCCTACAAAGGAAACGTTTATTGAATGTCTGTCACATGCTGGGCCTTGATTGCCAGCAACAGAGACATAAACAAAAATAGTTTCTGGCTTCAGTGATCTCGATATTTAGTGGAACAGAAGTGCCCATTAAAAAAATAAATGACAAAGCAGCACAGCACGCATTATGAGAGAGGCAAAACAGAAGGGAAGAAATGTATCCAGCTTCCGCTCGGTGTCAGGGATTCTAAGCGAGGGAGCTTGCTGGTAGCTCAGCCCTAGAGGACGAGCCCAGGGCATCCACGCGGCAAGGAGAGCGAAGGCACCGCAGGGAGAGGCACCGGCACGGCCCAGGGCAGTGCTGTGACCTTGGGAAGCTGCCAGTAGTGATGTGATAAAGAGCATGATGGGAGGTGGGGGGCCGGGGTCTGGCCGAGGACCTGCTCAAGAGGTAGGTCAGGGCCAGGGCAGGGTGGGCTCTCTTAGCCCTTCTTCTCAGTGTGAGGAGCGACTGAAGGACTTCATGCCTGATCACGACAGGATTTTAATTGATGTCCAAAGGCTGAGTGATGAGCAAATAAAGTGGGGTCTAGGGGAATATTACTTGGCAATAAAATGAATGAAGAACTGATCCAGCCTACAACATAAGTGAACCTTGCAAACGTTACAGCAGTGAAAGACGCCAGTCACACGAGGGCCCATGGGGTAGAATTCATTTACGTGAAAAGTCAGGATTCGGCAAATGCAAAGACAAAGCTATGTGTTCGCCAGGGCTGGGAAGTAATTGTCTATGTGTGGGGTGTCCCAAGGCCTCTCCTTCTTTGCCTTTCCCACTCTCTCTTCTTCTTCTTGCAATTCTGGGTACCAAATCCAGGGGCTCATTCAGGCTAGACAGGTGCTCTGCCAGTGAGCTATATCTGCCCCAAAGCTGCACCCTCACCCCAGAGCTGTACCCCCATCCCAGCATTTCTTTCTGAAGGTACACATTTAAAGAACTCATGTTCTTTAAATGTGTAAACTTTATGGCATGCGAATTATATCTCAATTCAGCTTTTACCAATTTTTTAACTCCCGAGAATTATTAATAAAAATACAAGATAATATTTTAATATCCTTGCCTTTTCTTTAGAAATCATATCATTTGCTCATCTATAAACTTAATGACTCTCATGGAAACCCCAAACTGTACATGTCAGTGTAAATGGTTTAACAAACTCAAATTAAATGACTCCACTTGTATTTTAATTTAGTATTTCAGATCTTTATGAAACTAATTTAAAGCTTCTGAATGATCGTATTCATCCTGATTTTAATATTTGCCTTCTTATTTAAAGATGAAATGACAGAAAGGCATTAGAATCTCAAGAAAATTTTATAACTTCTAACTTAGTAATTAGGTTTCTAGAATTTAAGGCAATAACTGGGAAAAATGCAATCTCTATGCACCAATATGTTCATGCCTATATTACTTGTAATAACAAAAACACAAACTTCAGCTAAAGTCTAATGACAGCGCATTGGTTGAAGAAATTTTGTTAAATCCATACAAGAGGATAATATTTGAACATTAAAAATGAAGTCCTAGGTAGCTGAGGTAGAAATACACGTATGCTTTGTAAATAAAGAACTTATAAACATTGAGGTACGATACTATTTTGTTGAAATCTGTTTATATGTATGTTTGGGTGAGAATGTCTGAGTGTTTATATTTGTGTGCATGCACAAAAACCTGAACAGTGGTTACACTGAGTTACTGGGATATCAATTTCTTTTTTCTCCCTTATCTATGTTTCCTTATTTTTCCATAGTGATTATGTATTACTTATGGCATTAAGAAAACCATAATAACCTCACTAAATTTTAGGTTCCTGGCAGCACCATTAAGGATGACATTTAAACACCGTTTGCCAATGTAGTTGTAAAATGGTCAATTCCCAAGAGAAAAGAAAGCTAGTTATTTGAAAAATGACAGTTAAATTAAGGCAGAATGATTAGTCCACCAGCCCACTGAATGACACTGGTGACAATATTACAACGCCAAGAGCCCTTCCCATACTGGGGACAAACTCCATCCATCCGCAAAGCTGTGTATACCATCAGTGCCCCTGGTAGCTCCTCTCTGTGTTACTGGGATCTCAATCCAGGAAGCAGGACGACATTCTTGCCCCAAGTAACTCCCTACATCTCTGGTTGCTGAGAGTGAAGCTGTTCTCTTTTTCATCCTTGCAGTCAGAGCCTTTCGTCAGCTCGTTCTGGAGTCGCACCTTTGCATCTGCATGGCTGGGAGGAACGCCTGGCCCTGCGCCACCCCACTGCTGAAAGAACAGTGGCAGGTTTAATTTCATCCATCATGTGGCTCTGCAGGATTCAACCACTGTTTCAGAGACTTGCTTTCAGGTTTATTTTTCTGTATCTTCCAAAGCATTGATTGATTTTTTTTCCTCAAGCTTTGTTATTTCTTTTAAATCAATAAATTTCATCAACTAAGAAACTGCTACTGCCCATTAATATACTTCCTGTTCTCTCTGTATATCCTGTCAGCTAGCGTATTGTCACTTTAGTGGAATCAGACAGTAATGAGGGCTTCATGTGGTAATGGTCCACGGCTCTCAGTGTTTGTGGAGGTGAAACGTTTCCCAGAGGACCTCCACAAAGGCCAGCGCTCGAATGTCGTGCTGTATTTATGTCTGGAAACATTGCCATCGGGAAGAAACCAACTAAACCTGAGTCCACCCTGTGGGCTCTGTCATGAGGATGCACTCAGGAGCATAAAAACTTTGACGCTGTTCGAAAAAGCTCATCTCAGGAATGTGTCCCCCTTCCCACAGCTCATTTCATTCCGAGATTTCCAGGAACACTTCGACACCGATGACAGAATTTGGCAGGGCATCAGAGTACACTCTTTGTGTTCTGAATATTGGAAAATTAACTTCCTACTTACGGTGACTGGCTACCTCTTAATCTTTTCATAAAAAAAATTTCTGATGCACACTGCCTTGTGTGTATGAGAGATTCAAATGTGGCAACTTATCAACCATATCCCTCTGCTAGCAAGATCCAAGGCATTGAGTTTCTTATAATATTTAGTAGAGTGCTAAACGTGGGACAAACTACCGTGCACTACATTCAAACCTACTGAAACAACCTATTATCTAAAGTTATGAAGCAAATCGTCTTGTGGACCAAGGGGAAAAACCTCATTAACTCTCTCTTCCGACCAGGCCGCCATGTAATAGTCCTACTGCTGCTATAGCAAACTATCACAAACACTGGCTTAGAACATCACAAGTTTATTATCTTACAGTTCTGTTGGTTAGCATTCCAATGTGGGTCTTACTGGGCTGAAATTGATGTTGGCATGGCTGGGTTAAAAGAATCTCTTCAGGACAGTCCATTTCCCCTTGCCTTTCCTTACTCCTGGGCAGGCCCACATTTCTTGGCTCACGGTCCCTTCTGCCCATGAGACTGGCAATGTGCAGCTCTCCGGCTACTTTGCGCTTGTCACGTCTCCCTGTGACTACAGTTAGGAAAGAGTCTCAGCTTGTAAGGGTCCATCTATAAGCGAGTACAGTGGGCTGTCTGAATAATCTGGGGTAATCTCCTCATCGAAGGTCCTTACCTTCATGACATCTGCAAAGTCCCCTTTGCTATGTGAAGTAATATTCACAGGTTCGGGAAATCTGGATGTGGTTCTATTTGGGGATCCACTGTCTTCTGTCTGCCGTACTGAGGAAGCAGCGGTTAGGGATGTAGCCCTGGAGTGAACCTGTTTGTATTTATCATTTACAAATTGGCAGTCTTGGGCGAGTTAACTCCTGGGCACACAATTATTCTCCATTAGTAAAATGGCACTGGGTTTGGCACTGGTACCTAATAAAGTAGTTGTAAGAGAGTGAATAAATACATTCAGTACAGGGTCCACGAGTGTTCCTACAATGACTGAAAGTCTGAAAGTCAAGTTATAAGCCAAGGTCTCTTATTCGGCAAATCCCACGCTGACAGACTGAATTGCCACCTGTACCAGATTCATGGGTAGAGAATTCTACTTTCTTCTTTGTATGGAGGTTATAGAAAGGCCAGCCTTAGCCACCTTTCCCTTGAATTCTCCATGTAAGGAGATTAGTATCTCTTATTTGGGGAGGGGACAGAGAGAGGGCTGTCCCTTATGCCTCAGCTGTGGTTTCCTTGGGGTGGCTCACCATGACAGTGTCTCTAATTGCTGTGCATTCCCTGTCCCAAGATGGATTCCATCAGCAGGGCTTTCCAGCCGTTCTGCACACCTCTTGGAGCTCCTGCCTTTGGCAACTCCCCGTGAGAAGCATCGGCTCTTTAAAGTAACGGCTGCTAGAATCTACTCTAGCTACCAGTGCGTGGCCCTTTTGAGAGGTCTTTTCTAATGTCACCATCTCCTGAGTAATTCTCAGTTTCCTTAGTGCGTTATGGGAAACGGTTTCACTCCTTACTCTCTAGGCTATGGCAAAACAGCTGCAATGTGGTAGGTGCCGTAAAGTCCTTTCCAAAGAGTACGACTCTCTGCTTCCCCAGACGGCAACACGTGCAGGTGTCCGAGACACTGTCCCCGTGGGCTCCTGCACCACAGAAGGACCCCAAGGGTTGGATCAAGGTGAACCTAGACACAGCTGGCCACTGCTCCACATTGCCACGACCCTGTACCACCTTAGGTCCCTGCCTCCTGTTTAAACCAGTCTTTCCACAATCATGCACAACTATTCCGAAAATAATCATACTGGGCTCATAAAAAACTTGCTTCTCACATGCAATTTTGGAAAAGGGTAAGTTCAGGGGACTTCTCATAGCCTTAAGCTCTAACCTTGTCTTACTGGTTACTTAGCCTCCACACCTCTGGACATAAACCCAAGGCTCGGAAAGTTACTCTACAAGGCCAGCTCTTGAATATTCTAACTTTGGAGGAGAAAAGAACTTTGTGTTTTTTTTTAATGATGAAGGTGAATGACTGTGACAGTCTCAGCTACTGTTCAGTGTAGACACCAAGACAGAATTTGTCTCAAGGGACCTGCAACTTCAATTTATGAAATATGCTTTTCTTTAAAATTCTGAAAAGCCTTAGCTCTAGCTGATGCTAAGAAACTGGTTTCTAGGAAGCCTATATCTCCAGTTAAAATGCTATGCTGTTACAATTTAGAAAAGATTAAATATTTTAGAATATAGCATTTCATGCTTATATGATTATAAAAGGTCCAAAAGGGTTTCTAAAGGAAAAATGAACTCATGAAAATAGCAAATAGAGCCAGGTGTGGTGGTGCACATGTATAATCCCAGCACTTGGGAGGCTGAGGCAGGAAGACCACTGCAAGTTTGAGGTCAGCCTCCGATACACAGTGGGTTCAAAGCCAGCCTGAATTGCATAGTGAGACCATATCTCAAACAACAACATATTTTGTTTTAAAAAGGAAAGAAAATAGCAAATAGAGCTATACATTCAGTAGCTCTTAGGGATTACTGTTTTTTCTAAAAATGTAACAAATATTAATTTCTTGCACTATGTGCAAGTTATAGCTATCTTGTGTCTTGCAAAAGCAATGCTAGCTATACATAATACACTGTACCTAATCTCTATCAGAAAATCTCCCACATTCAGCATAAACTTATTATCGTAGTGTTTCTTTCCATGAATCAAAAACGTGATGGTGAAATATGTTAATGTTAACAGCTATGCATCGACTTTGAGGCTTTAAACAATTTGTGAGTGTAGCAACTGAGGAACTTTTGTGCAAATAGAGAAGAGAGTAATTCCATGGTCACTAGAAACAAAAGGAAAGAGGAAGTTGGGGAAGCCAGAGGAGGAAGGAAGGGAAGAGAAAGAAAGGTGGAGCAGCTGAGAATGATGCTTCAGGGCTGGGGATATGGTTCAGTGGCACAGGCACCTGCCTGGCAAGCGCAAGGTCCTGAGTTCAATTCCCGGTACCAGAAAAAAAAAAAAAGAAACCACAAAAAACCAAAGGAAAATGAAAATTCAATACAGAGTTCAGCTCACACAACAGTGAAATGCAAAACCCATTAAGAGATGAATAACAAAGACCATGTCTTTAAAAGCCCAGGAAATTTGAGATGAATACAAATTACACTCTACAGCTAACCCACATCCTCTGAAAAGTTTACAAAAATCTTATCAATAGACATTTAAAGGAATTTCATATTTGAACTATTTTTTAAAAAAATAAAGATTAAAATTGAAACCACGTGTTTGCATTTGTTAAAAAATAATTAATGAGGTATTGGAGCAACCGAGAAATAAGTGAACCCCAAAGACAGTGACTGTGAGATTACAAAGACCTTGGCCTTAGCATAATGGAATACAGTGTCCTAGCAGAAAAACATGTACTGTTTAGTCTTTGGAGTTGTGATGTCATTTTTTTTTATCTCTCTAAAAGTTATAGATATGGGAGAAGAGAGAGAGGAGGAGGGGGATGGGGAGAGAGAGGGGGAAGGAGATGGAGACAGAGACAGAGACAGAGAGAGAGACGGAGAGAATACCAAAATATAGCTCTTCCGGGCTGTTAGAAGCATCTAGGAAATAAGCAAGTTAGAATGACACTTTGAATACTAGAATATTCTTTATAATTATGGACTGCTCTCTTCTGGGGAATATAAGAGCAACAAGTTTGGTTTGTTTTATAATTACATTTTGAATTTTATGAATTGCTCCAGTATTACCATTATTTTATCTAGCAATTAAACATCTAACCAACTCAGAGATGTTTATCCATAATGACAGCGCGGACGTTTATGTGCTGTTTATTTCTTGCTGAACTTTTTGAGCTTAGAAATGATTTTGCTTTATTAATTGTCATATGTTCTTTTAAAAGTCAGGGATGATGCTCATCCACTTACTATCTACCTAAGTTTCTGGCCCGCGTGCAAGGAGAATAAGACGTCTGCTACTTATTTAATGAGTCCATTAAAGCTTGTGTTTATTTTTGTATTTTTTATTTTTTTGGTTTTTCTCCGGTACCGGGAACCGAACTCATGATCTTGCGCTTGCCAGGCAGGCGCTTTGCCGGTGAGCTAAATCCCCAGCCCCTAAAGCCTGTGTTTAAAAGGAGACCACAAGTGGTAGGGATTTGGCTTGCTGGGACACAGGGTTTCCCGGCTCACTCAGCCCCCAAAAGCATTTCTTCTCGGCTTCCCAAGCAGCATTTCAGAGCCGAAACTATTAGAACCACGGGTAGGCAACTATGGGCGGGCGCCTGGATTCTCCTTCCTAGCTATTCCTAAAATAGCATCGGTAACCAGGTTTCTAATGATCGCCCCTGCAGGCGTCCTCGGAGCGCCTTCCAGTGAGCGCTTTGTGACACTACCTGAGTCATTTCAAAATCACGGACTGAGAAATGATGAAGCCA